AGGTTGATTCTGTGGTTGGCCCAGGAGAACGCGCAGGCCGCTGATGTGATGGTGATGCCTGCAAGAACAAGGACGTTGTGTGATGGTGATGCCTGCAAGAATGTGTGGCCTTTGAGCACATACAATACATCTTTGTCAGAGTGTGAGCAGTAGTTGGCTGTAGCACCCTCTAGTAACCCAACATGAGATCACTATACTGTACTAACAAAGATGAGCAAGACCTTCCTTACCACCAGAGAACAATAAAAGTACACTGTAGAAATTGTTAAAGAAGTCTGGGATCTGGTTGTGATATACTGTACTGTACTGTACTATACTACACTGCACTCTACTATACTACACTGTACTGTACTATAATACACTGTACTGTACTATACTACACTGTACTGTACTGTACTGTACTACACTGTACTGTATTGTACTATACTACACTGTACTGTACTATATTACACTGTACTGTACTATACTACACTGTACTGTAATATTAACTGTCACTGTACTATACTACACTGTACTGTACTATACTAAACTGTACTGTACTATACTACACTGTACTATACTACACTGTACTGTACTATACTACACTGTACTGTACTATACTACACTGGTAAACACTGTACTGTACTATACTACACTGTACTGATTATACTAAACTGTACTGTACTATGCTAGTACTGTACTATATAACTGTACTGTACTATACTACACTGTACGTACTGTACTATACTACACTGCACTCTATATACTACACTGTACTGTACTATATTACACTGTACTGTACTATATATACGTACTGTACTGTACTATACTACACTGTACTGTATTGTACTATACTACTGCACTGTCACTATATTACACTGTACTGTACTATACAACTGTACTGTACTACTACACTGTACTATTATATACACTGTACTGTACTATACTACACTGTACTGTTTTATACACTGTACTGTACTATACTACAATTGTACTATATTACACTGTACTGTACTATACTACACTGTACTGTACTATGCTACACTGTATTGCTATTATACTACACTGTACTGTACTCACTAAACTGTACTGTACTATACTACACTGTACTGTGTACTACACATGTACTGTACTATACTAACTGTACTATACTACACTGTACTATACTACACTGTACTGTACTATACTACACTGTACTGTACTATACTACACTGTACTGTATTATACTACACTGTGTACTATGCTACACTGTACTGTACTATACTAAACTGTACTGTACTATACTACCTGTACTATACTACACTGTACTGTACTATACTAAACTGTACTGTACTATACTACACTGTACTGTACTATACTACACTGTACTGTACTATACTAAACTGTACTGTACTATGCTACACTGTACTGTACTAAACTACACTGTACTATACTACACTGTACTGTACTATACTACACTGTACTGTACTATACTACACTGTACTGTACTATACTACACTGTACTGTACTATACTACACTGTACTGTACTATACTAAACTGTACTGTACTATGCTACACTGTACTGTACTATACACTGTACTATACTACACTGTACTGTAATTATACTACACACTGTACTGTACTATACTTCGTGCTGTACTATACCATACTGTACTGTACTATACTAAACTGTACTGTACTATACTACACTGTACTGTACTATACTACACTGTACTGTACTATACTACACTGTACTGTACTATACTATGACTGTACTGGTATTATACTACACTGTACTATACTACACTGTACTGTACTATACTACACTGTACTGTATTATACTACACTGTACTGTACTATACTACACTGTACTATACTACACTGTACTGTACTGTACTATACTAAACTGTACTATACCACACTGTACTGATTATACTACACTGTACTGTACTATACTACACTGTATGTACTATACTACACTGTACTATACTACACTGTAGTACTATACTACACTGTACTATACTACACTGTACTGTAATATACTACACTGTACTGCACTATACTACACTGTACTGTACTATACTACACTGTACTGTACTATACTAAACTGTACTGTACTATGTTACACTGTACTGTACTATACTACACTGTACTGTACTATACTTAAACTGTACTGTACTATGCTACACTGTACTGTACTATACTACACTGTAACTATACTACACTGTACTGTACTATACTACACTGTACTGTACTATACACACCACTGTACTATACTACACTGTACTGTACTACACTGCACTCTACTATACTACACTGCACTCTACTGTACTTTCACTGTACGTACTACACTGTACTGTACTATGCTACACTGTACTGTACTATACCACACTGTACTGTACTATACCACACTGTACTGTACTACACTGTACTGTACTATGCTACACTGTACTGTACTATACTACACTGTACTGTACTATACTACACTGTACTGTACTATACTACATTACTGTACTATACTACACTGTACTGTACTACTAAACTGTACTTGTACTATGCTACACTGTACTGTACTATACTACACTGTACTGTACTACACTGTACTGTACTATACTACACTGTACTGTACTATACTACACTGATGCAATACTACACTGCACTGTACTATACTACACTGTACTCTACTATATCACACTGTACTCTACTGTACTCACACTGTACTCTACTGTACTACATTGTACTCTACTGTACTACACTGTACTGTACTATACTACACTGCATTGTACATACATACACACCAAGTTTAGTTAAAATACAATATTACTTTTGAGATTTTGTATTCAATGTCAGATGCACATACACAGAAACACACAAATATTTATACACACACACATACAAATATGAAACACATACATACACACACACACACACACACACACACACACACACACACACAAATACAAAACCGTAGTGTACATCAATACCGCCACCACTAAAGTGCAAGCTCCAGCAGTCACAGTGGGTGCCCATCCTCTCCAGTTAGTGCAGTCTGCCCAAACTCTGGGTGTTACCATAGCCACAAACTGGACTGAAGGCAGCCCCATACCGACTCTACACATGCTGCGACCTAGGTCACTTGGGACACCACACCAGAGTTGAGGACCATCTACAACGCCTTTATTCTCCAAACTAACGAGCAAGCGTCACAGCCTGGTCGCCCGTCAACTCCACCCAACAACGTACATAGAGAAGGTACAGAAGAGGGCCTGCAGAATCATGCTCGGCGAGATCATCTGCCACAATAACGCTTTCTCCACCCTGAAATGCCATCCTCAGTGACCTCCACCACCAAGCACTAGCAAGGTTTACAGTGGACCACTGCACCATCTCGCATCGCCACCTCTGCCACGGCAGCCCTCACCCACCTCAGGTCTCCATTACAACATCAGCCCATAAGAGCCAGCACCAATAGATATAAGAATAGCACCATCCCATCTTTTGTTAAAATAATAAACAACTCCTGATTTATGTACTGTAGCCCTGTAAATGTATTAAAAGCATATCATTATGTCTAAATCAAATGTAAGTTTATATTTTAACACCAGCTGCAACCTCTATTAATAAATATATAATTATATGAACACATACTGTATAAAATACAGATAAGAACACACACACACACACACACACACACACACACACACACACACACACACACACACCTGTTATGTTGGCCCATACCAACTCTCGAACCCTCCTCCCACCGAATATCAACAAGTTCTCACCAGAAATTACTATGTCATTTAGGAAAGGAATGGAACCAGTGTTGAATAGTGGTGAACTGCGTTTAGGTCAGTGAAAAACAACTCAACAGTAACAGCCAAGTCGCATCTAAGCACCTCACACAGTGAGGTCCCAGGTACCAGTGATAACTGCCCTGAGACTCAACAACACCAGCTATGTGTTAATCTGTCCACGATAAGGAGGTTTGGATCACACCTCACTCACTGAGGAGGTTCCTGTGACAGACCACGTGTCCCCATGATGCTACCCCACGTAGTGAAATGAGTTGCTACATCATCATTTGGAGGTTCCTCATAACACCATCTGTGAGGGAACTACACCACGTGATGCCCTCATAACACCATCCGGAAGGAATTATTACACCACATTAGGCCCTCATACACCTCTGTGAGGAATTACTACATCATCAGCCCTCATAACACCATCTGTGAGGAATTATTACACCACATCAGCCCCTCATACACCCCAGAGGGAATTACATACACATCAGGCCTCATAACACCATCTGTGAGGGAATTACTACATCATCAGGCCTCATAACACCATCTGTGAGGAACTACTATTCCACGATGCTCACAACGCCATCTGGGAGGAATTACTACACCACGATTTGCTGTTCAACACCTACATCTAATCGTTCACTGTATGTCTTTACCTTCTAATGAAGGCTTTTGTTAAACCACCAATGTTTATAATAAGTCATTTATGTCCAATGTATATTTCTTTCAGCCTCGGCCGCAGAACTTTTTCAGAACTTTTTCAATAACAACTATTATTTATTAATTATTATTATTAACACACATCAGTGACTGAAGATACACATTTGCATTATGTGCCACCAGTGTTGTCTCATCTCTCTCTCTACGTAGTCCATAACAGTGCTCCATCATGGACCTCACCGACTGCCCTTGTCACACAGCTGTAGAATAACATACGCCGTTGTTGTTGTTTTACCTGTAAACAATGACAAACATGTAGCTACTGGCCCAGACATAATACAGAACCTGAAGAAACTAGACACAGAGTGTGTGTGTGTGTGTGTGTGTGTGTGTGTGTGTGTGTGTGTGTGTGTGTGTGTGTGTGTGGTGTGTGTGTGTGTGGTTTTTAACCCATTCTTGTCCTTCACAACTCTCCTCTCCTGCTCTCAGGTTTCTTATCATAACCACTGTGTGTAATCTGTTTTGACTCTTTCTATTTCCTACAAATGAGCTCCTCACCTGCATCAATGTGCCTATGATGCCAATGTTATGGAGTGTTGTCGCCGCTGTTGGAAGGTGGTGATGCCCCGTGGTCAACTGTCTCTGCTGGTGCCGTCACCTGGCTGTGGGTCGAGGCACATTTAATCAATTAATTTGTTCCCAAAATAACCTTTCATAAGTTGTGGTGCTTACAATATAAAAGAGAAGTGTTTTACTTTTAATGTTCAAAATACCTCAGAAGGTTCTTCAGTTTTCTCTGTAAAGTACAATTTTAATATTAGCAAGTTGTTGTTGATGAAGTTTGTGGTATGTGAAGCACAAGAATAATAACAGTGTTGGTATTTTGTGGCCACAGCCGGGAAAACTTAAGATATATTTTCAGTAGCTAGACGTACTGTATGTTAGGCTATGAGGCTGCATTACTATACAATGTTCCTTGATGCTCACGAGTAATAACTGACCTCCTTAACCTACAATACATAATATAATTTCAAAATCAACTCCAGTTCTATATTAATAATAATAAAAAATAAACAAAATCTAGAAAAAAAGGATAAGTTTTCAAGATACATTTTTTATTTACAAAGTTATAAAAAAATAACCACATGATGACACTATGAGTCCTTTGCTCACCTCAGCAGTACTTAACAAGACAGTTCTGTATACGGCTCCTCCCTGAGTTATGACCTACTCAACTTACGAACACCCGCACTTATGACCTGCCTCAGTCGTACCAAATTTTTTTCAAATTACGTATTTTCGAGTCCCAACGTCAGTACACAGAGAAAATTTTTGTTTGTAATTCACTTTAAAATGGCTGGCCAGCTTAAAAGTGAGAGTTTTGTGGTGCTGAGAAGAAAAAGAGACACCCATTTTAGATTTTCTATGTATTATTTAAGCATTTTCGACTTACGACCATTTCGATTTACAACCTGCATTTGGGTCCCTAACCCCGCCGTAAGTCGGGGAGGAGCTGTAGTTTAAAGAAAAAATTTGGTTTCACTTATTTTATCCAGTGAAAACATCTACAGGAAATACTCAATACTGAATAGTCTAAGTTATAAATCAGAGGCTGATCAATAAACTGTAATATGGCATTACTTTTAATGACATTTTCTCTACAACACAAGACATTGTTGGTGAGCAGTTGTGCGAGATAAATTAATGATCACGTGGTTCTTGATAACGAGGAAATCGCTGCCATCGACTGTTGAATGAGGAGAATGAATGGAACAGGAACAGCAGAACCTGTACGTATATATAATTTGTAATAAAAGTTGAAAGTCCTGCTATAATAGTAGAGATAAGTTTATTTCTCTAGAAACAGGGCCGCCATTTGCAATGACGTCACCACTTACCCTGTAGATGATGCAGGGGTGGCGATACAGTCCATTTAGAAGTAATGACATTTGTCTGGACTTTGTTTTGAAAATGCCTGATGTTAGGTAAACATGACAACTTAGTGCTTATTGTTTTGATGATATACTGGGATATACTGTACCATCATGTATATTAACCCTTAGGCCCTGGGTGATGTTCCAGAACGTCCGCCTATTTTCCCACCATTTTTTTTTATAATTATTTTTGGAAAAGTTGATTTTTTTCTCAATTTATCCCCATGGGGTTACTGCCAGCAGCACCCTGACCTGGGGCTAAAGGGTTAATTAATAGGTAAAATTGTACTTTAACTACCATAAGTATTTGGATGCTTACATTCGAGATAGACTACACAGTGGTCCCTCGGTTAACGAACACAATTCGTTCCACAGAGTCGTTCGTTAACTGAATCCATTGTTTCAGTGGGATATTGGGTAATTGGTTCCAGCTCACAGAAAAGTACATACAAAGTAAAAAAAAAATGCAGTAAAGTACACTTACTTTGAGGTGTGTATATGGAAGGTTCCTGGTTGATGATGATGATGGGAATTAGAAGTGGGGGTGGAGGAGAAATCACCTTTCAGGGGACCCATGCTTGATGCAGTAATTTCACCAGTAAAATTTTAAGTTCACAAGGTGTAATTCAAGATTATTTTATTTAAATCAACACTACACTGCACTATACTGTATATTATCAATATGTTAACTAAATTTCAGAATGACCAATAATTTGAATGTAAAAATGCAAAAATATTAAGGAGCACAACTTTCTTGATATTTACTCCACTGGAAATGAATGTAAACATAGAACAGATTACTTAATTGGTGGACTAGCCCATCAGCTGATGCTCATAACAAAGCGTGATGTTCGTAAGGATTTCGCTAATCTTAGTTTTGTTTGTTAATTGAATTGAAGATCCTTATGGGAGATAATTCGTTAACAGAAATTTCGTTAACCGAGGGACCACTGTATTGGGTAAATTTTAAGTTTTGGTCATCCCTGTACTTAGACATGCAGACGATTTTTAACTTAATTTCTATCGGAAACCACTAGTTTTGAGTTACTACCCTCCCCATACCAGTGTATGTTAAACTAACCTTATAACTTATAATACAGTTGGTCCTCATATTACGCGGTTAATGTAACCCGGAGGGTACCGCGGAAAGTGAGAAACGCGTAAAGTGAATAACATAACATATGGGATTAATTGAAATGGAGTCCGGGCCGATCCCCAAACTCCACTTTTTGACGACACACAACTATGTTGTAGTAAAAATATTATCTTAACTTTATGATGGCATGCACACACAATTAATAATTAAGAGAAATATCAATAATATTAGGTTTTTTAACACTTACATCAGTAGAAAAGATGGCTGGGCACACGGGGATGGGCGGTTGGTTCCGAGGCAAAGGGCAGATTATTGGCCCTCACCTGTATCAATTGTATCACTATCCACCACAGAGGCTTGCAGGGCCTCTTTGTCAAACCCCCCAAAGTTCATATAAGTCCATATCCTCACTATAATTATCACTATCACTGACTTGGGCCGGCTGTAGTGGGTGGCGGGTGAAGAACTGGTCATGTTTTGATGACTGGGCGACCTTGTGCGCACCATTTTCGCGCCTCTTACACAACATGGCGGATGGCGGGAGGTTTGGATCCAAAAATGGCGCGGCTTGCCAGCCGCTCTCCGCGTAATGGGGTTCACGACCGCGGAATGTGAAAATGTTAGGTTCTGGCAAGGCACCGCGTTAACGGTGAAACGCGGAATGCGGGACCGCGTAATATGAGGACCAACTGTATAACTTATTATACCTAACCTAACATATAAGCTGTATTTTCTTATGCGATAGAAAAATGTTTTGCGATAGAAATCCCGTAGAGATAATGTGTCTTATTGTTTAAAATACTTAATACCATAGTTAGAATCTTAAGGTTCCTCAGATGACCAAAACCAAAATAATACCAATATTGTTCGGAATGTTTACACTATGAAATTTGTAATATGGGCAGCTAATGTCCACTGAATTAGTTAATGTGCTTCGTAATATTTATATATTCAATACAGTATAGCATTACTGTGTTGCACAGTAAAGTACAATTAATTGTCTAATAACGTTTAATTACAGAGCCAATCAGCCGAGAAGGTTGGAACACTACTTCCAGGGTTCATCAAGGCAGATGAAAGAAATTTACCCAAAGTAGATGTGTTTATGATAGTTGAGTATTATCGAGAACTCCGCCATCCAACTATGAAGCACGTTACATTACATCTGTCATCTGATCATCCCCTGGCCATGGTCGTCCCCAGTCCTTCCACAACATTAAATATAAACATCAGTGACAAAAGCTTACATTTTCCAGGCATGAAATAGAGAACAGTGATGAAAACTCCCTGTTGGAGTTATCGGTCTGGTGCATCATTGTGGCAGCCAGCAAGTAAATACTCACGATGATACTTGAGCAGTAATTTATTTTAACCTAATAATAAGGTATGACTGTTTATATCAACATTGTATATGGCCACAAGTCCTGTATTTCTGATGGTAACAACACATACACCACAGCCAGTTGCCTCCAGGCTCCCTCTCGGCAGTATGACACAACCGGTGACGTCACAACCAATGACAGAGCTTTTAGCAGTCACGTGACTTTTTAGTAACTTTAACCCTTAATTTTAAACTTTTTAGCCAAATTAATTTTAAAATTTCATTACCATAGTGAATTTAAGCGTTTTCTTTACCCATTGACCTGTCATCTTATGAAAAAATTACGACCGTCAACTCGTCCATTGAAATTTTCTCGGGGCACACTTTCCAGAAAATTCCGGGGATGGGGGAGATTTCCCGGTTTGAAAGATGATGTAATGGACAATTTCTGGAACTTCCGAGAACATTTTCCGTTAGCCAGAAAATTCCGGGGATGAGGGATTTTTTCCGACTTTGAGAGAGTCGTCTTGTTACTCGGAAATCTCTCATTCCCAGAAGTGCTCTGCACCAATTGTTCTGGCTAACGGGGATATCACTGTACTGTGTCAGACGGCCGGTGGAAGAGTGTTGTCATAAATACAGTACAGTACAGTACAGTACTTAAAAGGGTAAAGGTGATGCACTTTGATGTGGGAATTACAGGAGCCTGAAGCTGTTTGATCAGGTCATGGAAGTTGTGGAAAAATTGATATGGGAGAGAGTGGACACTCACAAAATGCAATTAAAGTTCATGCCACGCAGGATGATTACAGAGGCATTATTTATGGCCTGAAGCTACAAGAGAAATATGTAAGGAAGGAGAAAAAGTTGTATTTCATATTTGTAGAGTAAAAGAAGGTATCTGAGAGGGTACCACATGAAGAACAGTAGTAAAGTGGGCAAAGGTAAGGGTCGAAGAGTATCTTGTTCAAGTGGTTATGGCATTATACGAGGGCTCAAAAAAACTACTGATAGTAAATGGTGAGGAAAGTGAAGAACAATGCAAGGTACCAACCATTCCAGTATATGGCAATACAAGTGTAGAAGATCACTGTATAAGACTGAAGTTGGTAAAGATAAAAGTGAGGCACGTGAGGTTTAAGTCGGGGTTCATCAGGGGTGTGTCTTGAGCCCCCTTCTGTTTATCATGGTGCTGGAGGCAATATGATGGGACTGGTCAATTGTTGTAGTGCTGATAGTATTGTAGAGGCAGTGGAGAAATTTAAGAAACAGAAGGATGGAATAGACTCAAAGGTCCTGAGAGTGAATGTGGTGAAAAGAACAGTACTGATTAGTGAGGGACCTGTGGTGGAGAGTGGCAACGTGTGGAAGGTGTTGGCAGCATCTGTATAATGTGTGGAAGGTGGGTACAGTGAGTGTGGTAGGTGGGTACAGTGAGTGTGGTAGGTGGGTACAGTGAGTGTGGTAGGTGGGTACAGTGAGTGTGGTAGGTGTGAGTGTGGTAGGTGGGTACAGTGAGTGTGGTAGGTGGGTACAGTGAGTGTGGTAGGTGGGTACAGTGAGTGTGGTAGGTGGGTACACAAGAGGTGTAGTAAGTGGCAGGATGTTGCTGACTTATAAGTCTTCTGTAGGTGCAGGTAACCGAGTGCCCACAACAAGGCTGGAGACACTCACCATTAAGGATTTGTCCCTGGACTGTGTTGCCATGATCAGTGCTGGTGGTGGGGGCACTGAAGCTGGCTCTGTTGTAAGAGTCACAAGTGGCTGGAGGAAGTTTAGGAAACTGCTGCCTTTACTGACGACAACAAGACCTTCCCTCTGTATGTGGCTCGTGTGAGAGGTGTGATGTTGTATGGCAATGAAACATTGGCAGTTAAAGAGGATGACATAAGTAGTCTTGAGTGCTGAAATAAGAATGGCGAGGTGGATGTGTAATGACAGTACAGTATTAGTGAAGTTATGTGTAAGAGACAGAATGTTGTCACCTACCTGGTAGTACTGTGGTGGTACACTGTTGTCACCTACCTGGTAGTACTGTGGTGGTACACTGTTGTCACCTACCTGGTAGTACTGTGGTGGTACACTGTTGTCACCTACCTGGTAGTACTGTGGTGGTACACACACTGTACCACACAAGTAAGCTGTCTTCTTGGAACACATTTTGAATGAAGTCTCCACCTGACTCTTGCCAGTCTTGGTAACACCAACATCTGCAGCAAAAAACACAACAGGTCATCAGGCTGCTCATGACACAACAGGTCATCAGGCTGCTCATGACACAACAGGTCATCAGGCTGCTCATGACACAACAGGTCATCAGGCTGCTCATGACACAACAGATCATCAGGCTGCTCATGACACAACAGGTCATCAGGCTGCTCATGACACAACAGGTCATCAGGCTGCCTTATGACACAACAGATCATCAGGCTGCTCATGATACAACAGGTCACTGTGCTGCTCTTATGCATAATAAACAGGTCATCAGGCTGCTCATGACAACAGATCATCAGGCTGCTCATGACACAACAGGTCATCAGGCTGCTCATGACACAACAGGTCATCAGGCTGCTCATGACACAACAGATCATCAGGCTGCTCATGACACAACAGGTCATCAGGCTGCTCATGACACAACAGGTCATCAGGCTGCTCATGACACAACAGATCATCAGGCTGCTCATGACACAACAGGTCATCAGGCTGCTCATGACACAACAGGTCATCAGGCTGCTCATGACACAACAGGTCATGAGGCTGCTCATGAAACAACAGGTCATCAGGCTGCTTATGACACAACAGGTCATCAGGCTGCTCATGACACAACAGGTCATCAGGCTGCTCATGACACAACAGGTCATCAGGCTGCTCATGACACAACAGGTCATCAGGCTGCTCATGACACAACAGGTCATCAGGCTGCCTGCGACAGGTCATCAGGCGCCTATGACACAACAGGTCATCAGGCTGTGCCATGACACAACAGATCATCAGGCTGCTCATGACACAGCAGGTCATCAGGCTGCCTGCGACACAGCAGGTCATCAGGCTGCTCATGACACAACAGGTCATCAGGCTGCTCATGACACAACAGGTCATCAGGCTGCCTGCGACAACAGGTCATCAGGCTGCTCATGACACAACAGGTCATCAGGCTGCCCATGACACAACAGGTCATCAGGCTGCTCATGACACAACAGGTCATCAGGCTGCCCATGACACAACAGGTCATCAGGCTGCTCATGACACAACAGGTCATCAGGCTGCTCATGACACAACAGGTCATCAGGCTGCTCGAGACAGCAGGTCATCAGGCTGCTCATGACACAGCAGGTCATCAGGCTGCTCTGACACAACATATCAGCGCTCGCGACACAACAGGTCATCGCCTGCCTATGACACAACAGGTCATCAGGCTGCTCATGACACAACAGGTCATCAGGCTGCCTGACACAACAGGTCAGCTGCTCACGACACAACAGGTCATCAGGCTGCCTCGTGACACAACAGGTCATCAGGCTGCTCTCATGACAACAGGTCATCAGGCTGCTCACGACACAACAGGTCATCAGGCTGCTCATGACACAACAGGTCATCAGGCTGCTCATGACACAGGTCATCAGGCTGCATGACAACAGGTCATCAGCGCGATACAACAGGTCACGGCTGCTCATGACACAACAGGTCATCAGGCTGCTCTGGCTACAACAGGTCATCAGGCTGCTCAAACAGGTCATCAGGCTGCTCATGACACAACAGCATCAGGCTGTCATGACACAACAGGTCATCAGGCTGCTCATGACACAACAGGTCATCAGGCTGCTCCATGACACAACAGGTCATCAGGCTGCTCATGACACAACAGGTCATCAGGCTGCTCATGACACAAGGTCATCAGGCTGCTCATGACACAACAGGTCATCAGGCTGCTCATGACACAACAGGTCATCAGGCTGCTCATGACACAACAGGTCATCAGGCTGCTCATGACACAACAGGTCATCAGGCTGCTCATGACACAACAGGTCATCAGGCTGCTCATGACACAACAGGTCATCAGGCTGCTCATGACACAACAGGTCATCAGGCTGCTCATGACACAACAGGTCATCAGGCTGCTCATGACACAACAGGTCATCAGGCTGCTCGCACAACAGGTCATCAGGCTGCTCATGACACAACAGGTCATCAGGCTGCTCATGACACAACAGGTCATCAGGCTGCTCATGACACAACAGGTCATCAGGCTGCTCGACACAACAGGTCATCAGGCTGCTCATGACACAACAGGTCATCAGGCTGCTCATGACACAACAGGTCATCAGGCTGCTGCTCATGACACAACAGGTCATCAGGCTGCTCATGACACAACAGGTCATCAGGCTGCTCATGACACAACAGGTCATCAGGCTGCTCATGACACAACAGGTCATCAGGCTGCTCATGACACAACAGGTCATCAGGCTGCTCGATGACACAACAGGTCATCAGGCTGCTGACACAACAGGTCATCAGGCTGCTCATGACACAACAGGTCATCAGGCTGCTCATGACACAACAGGTCATCAGGCTGCTCATCTTCATCTCTGACCCACAAACTTGAAATTTGAGTTCAATACTTTTTTACTGATACAGTACAGTTCAATACAGGACAGTACAGGATAGTATAGTACAATACATTTCAGTACAGTACAGTGATGGGGTATGCTATAACGAATGGATCCTACTACGAATATTCCTATAACGAACGGTTTTACCTATAAAATTGAGAATGCTATAATGAACGAAACTCCTACAACGAACATTATTTATTTTTATTTTTTTTTCTAATTTATTGTTTTTTTATTTCAAATATTAATGATATTCTTTATTTCAGGGGTTTAGATGCATATTTATGCACTTTAATTTTACAATTTTATATTATATTTTTCAGTGTTAAGTGGTTGTATTTGGGGGCCTGGAACGGATTAATCCTATAACAAACGAATGCTATAACGAACAAGGTTCTAGAACCAATTAGATTCGTTATAGCATACCCCACTGTACTACAGTACAATGCTACACATGTATGGTGATAACCCACAACAGGAATCATAAATGAAACTCCAACAATCTTTTAAATGGCCGACACAATAAACAGCGCCGAGGGTTCATCTGTCCGTGAACACTGGATGACTGTCACCTGAGGTCCGAGCACCACACTGCCTTACACAAGGTTAACCAGCTACTGTACCAGGTGTTTCCCTTATTTACCCCATAATCAAACTCAAAACATTGGGTTAGGTTAGTTCTTTTTCATTAGGGGGAAGATAATGGAAAAGTACCCAGCCACCTAACACAATTGTACTGTACGTATATAGAAGAACAATTATTTCATACCACAAATACATCAAATGAGAATTTTAGAAAAGCACTTTTCCTATTATGTTTTTTTTTAAACTTTTTTGGGTATATAGAGACAAAGAATCTCACTCCTCTTCCACCGTTAGGTTGGGTTCTTCGGTTAGGTTAGGTTAGGTTAGGTTAGGTTGGGATATGTTAGGTTTGATTGCTGTGAGTTAGGTTAGGTTAGGTTTTGTTGGTGTAGGAACTTAACCATATCTCTGTTGTGTCTGGAAACTACTAACAAAAATAAAGGTAAAGATTCGTTTTAGGTCGAACATGGAATTTTATATTTCTATTTACTGTACATATGGAGAAAAGCAATATATACAGTATTTTATTAAGTTCTCGGTGCAAATTTATATTTTTCGAGTAATTTAACCGATATGACCGTTCCTCCCTCTATTACCAACAATATTGGTTGGTCAAAATGTGGGGTAATAACACCTTTGAAAACCTGACCTGACCTGACCTGACCTAACCTTACCTCAATTAACCTAACTTGTAAAAAGGGTAAAATACATTAATGTCTGAGAGCCACCAAAAGGAGTTACTCGATTTGGTTCTTTTTTTTTCACATGTTCTTATTCGAAATTTACTAGAACCTGACCTAACCTGACCTAACCACCAAAAACCACCTAACCTAATTTCCTAGCCGGGGGGCTTAGCCAATCAGAGAGCAATCACGGTAAAATAAGCTAGTAGGAACTTAACCACCAGTCATGGCAAAATATCCACGTGACACACACAGTTCTTGGCTGCCACACACACACAGGACACATGACACACAAGGACACATCACACACATGAACATGAACATGACACAGACACACAACACACACATCATACACACACAAACATGACACATACATGACCACACAGGGACACAGCACACACAGGACACATGACACATACATGACACACACACATGGAGACATGACACACACACACACATGACACACACACAGGGACACACATGACACACACACATGACACACCTCGGCCACCAACCTGGATCAGCTGTTGTGCCAGTGTCCGAATACATTATTTCTTTAATTTCAGAGACAAATTTTCGTAACTTATAAAAAAATAATATAAAAATGTATTTATAAATTAAATTCAAGGAATATATATTTTTGTCATAATTTTATTTTATAATAAGTTATGTATTATAGGTAGTTTATTTATATATTTTTCTTATATTAAGTCCGGCCGACACCCGAACACACCAGCAGCCGTTGTCTACATCAAGGAATAAAACTGGAGATGATAATATCTACACAAGTATATATATGACTTAGTTATAAAAAGTAGACTATTTCTTACCCCTATAATGTATCTGATTATTATAAACATTAATATTGTTATGGATAAATATATGTGTGTGTTGTGAGGTGTGTGTTGTGAGGTGTGGTGTTAGAGCCTCAGTGTGAGAGAGACCAGAGGTGAGTGGAGACCAGAGTAACAGGGACGGTCATCACTCCTCACTAAACACTTCTATAGTTAATGTGTAATATATCGCTGTTTGATACTTCACTAAACTTGAGTTGTTGTGATGTATCCAGTTCAGTATTGATGATGTTAATGTTAAATTGTTGGGAGGAAGATGTGTAAGAACTGCACAATTGCAATTTATTAGTAGACAGATCAAGTGACCTGAGGCCAAGGTGAACTGTCCTGTGGTTTGTGAGGAAGTTTTATAAAGTGTTGGTGATTGACAGCCGCTCCTCATCTTAATTTACCAGTATTTGAATATTTTTACTATTACTTTTCGTTATGATAAAGATATTCGTTATTAGGTATTGATGATATCTGTGTGTAGGTGTTGTTACTCCAGGTGCTGACTCAACAGTGTCTTGTTTTGTACAGTGTAAAGTAGTCATGGTCTTGTTAGGGTCCTTGTCACCTATGTGTAGTGTAGTATATATTATCAGTTAATTTAATAACTGTTATCATGGTCTTTTCCCCTACTGTAAGACCATATTTTACAGTCTTGGTAACGAGCCTGTACTGTGTGGCAGTGTCTGCACAAATTACTCACTAGTTGAGTCCAGTG